TGAAATTTTCCAACAAGATTCATTTCTCCTTTGGCCTCTTCCTCGATGTCTTCACATGTTTGATAGAACTCAGTAAGGGCTTTATTATAAAATCCAGATGAAGCCACCTGGGTTTTAGGATATAATTGGAAACTTTGCTGCTGCATGCATGCAAAGCAGAAGAAATAAAGTCAACCATAAGAGCACAAACCTTAGTATATGAAAAATGTTCAAACTTTATAATTACATTCAGATAGGGAACTGCATGTTTTCCAAGAATAATAACCTGCTGCCTCTAAGAGTTTAGCGTGCCTTTCAGAAGTAATCTGTATTCATCTCTAATGTAATGGACGCTAGGGAAAATATATGGTGTAAGCATATTCTCTTCACTTGGCATGGAGATTGTGTTTTAACCAGCATTGAAGAGTTCAGGTACTAGAACCAGATAACCTACATTTAAATCACAACTTTGTGGGGCACCTGGGTGGCTCAATCAGTTAAACGTCAGACTCATGGGACAACTCAAGCGTTGGCTCAGGTCATAATCTCAGGGTCCTGGGATGGAGCCCCTTCTTGGGCTCCATGCCCAGCAGGGGGTCTGCTTGAGATTCCCTCTCCCTCTCTCTCTTTGCCTCTCCCCCTGCTTGCACTCTTGCTCTCTCTCACTCTCTCTTTCTCAAATAAATATATAAAATCTTTAAAAAAAAAAAAAAGCTTTGCTACTTACTGGCTGTGTGACCTCGAGCTAGTCACTTAACCTCTCTGTACTTTATTTAGGTTCCCCATCTGTAAATTGAGGACAATGTTAGTATCTACCTCACAGGATTGTTGAAAAGATTAAATGAGTTCATACACTTACAGAGCACATAAAACAGTGCCTAGTACATAACTGATGCTCACCAAATGTTCCTCATTGATGTCACCATTGCTTTAAAATGGTAGAAGAGAAAAAGGCCTGACCCTTTTAAAAGAGTTTGCAGAATGAAGGAAGCCATATTTCTAGCGGGGAGTGCTCAAAATACTTGAGTTAGAGACCAAATGTATGAAATAGGACCTTCTGTGCCCCCGTTTAGGGCAGTTCAAAGCCAACCACACATGGCCTGAGTAAAGGGCAGCCTTTGGAAATATTAGCTCTCAACTAGCACTAATACACTATTTAGCACATTTCAGCTGAGGAGCAGCCTGGAACAGTCAATGTCAGGATGACAGACTTGTTCTGTACACACAGTAAAATAAATGTTTGGGTAAGTGGAGTTTACCCTAGTCAAATGTTAAAGAGTATATTTAGCTTGTAACTTGGAGTTTACAACTTCCTTTATCCCCTGCTTTGAAGGTTGCTTGTGAAAGCTGACAGCAACTCATTGGACAATTTTCTTAATAAAGGCAAATATTTTTAAAGATGGAAAATAAATTTTGTTTTCAGTGTCTATTTCTGTCACTAATCTTTCCATGGTTTCCAATTTACTTAGCCCAATAGCACACCTTTTATAAACCATAAAATTTATAGTGTTCACAAGTGACATTTACCTAGATTGGTTTACAAGAGCAAGAAAGTGGGGATTTATGTTTAATATAAAAATACCCATCATTTGTTCGGTAGTTTTTATTGTGTCAGGCTCTGTTCTGCATTCTTTGCATATATTACTTCTTTAAATCCTCCAAGAATCTTTCAAGACAGGTATCTGTATTAGTGTAATAGACACTAGCCAACTCTGACAAACCCCCAAGCTCATTGGGGAACACAGCATAGGTTTGTATTCGATTCAGTAATATCTGATGCAGTCAGGCAGTTCTCCTATGCAGCATCTTCTAAGGAATGCCTCAGGGTTTGGGGTGCCTTCTACTATGGAGCTCCAGCACCTCTTTTGCTTCCTGCTATAGGAATAGAAGGGAGAGAAAAAAATGTGGAGTAGGTAAACCATCTGCTAACTACCTCAGTCCCAAATTAACCCTACATTACTCCTGCTCACATCCCATTGGCCAAAATCAGTCATGTGGTCAACCAAACCCCAAGGGAAGCCAGGAAATGGTAAGGAATCTGTAGACAACACAAAATCCTAAACATATCTGCCATAATTTACTCTTCTGGTCACCAAATATTCATTTTCTTCCCTCTTTCGTTGTGTATAAGGAAAAAAACACAAACACAGAATCCACGCCTCTTCAAAGGAAACAACCTCAAATTCCATCTGGTCACTGCGTTCAGATCAAAGTGCAGACTTCTGAGTTATGTGAAGCTCTTGTCATAAGTCTGGATGTGCCATCTCTTGATCCAGTGCTCTGTAAACTAAAGGGAAAATGATCTCTATCACCGCAAAAAACAAGTTTCCTCTCTCTCTCTCTCACACACACACTCACACACACACACACACATTACAAATGGAGTAACAGTGATGATACAACTACAACAAAAATTTTGCTCCAGAAAGGGAAAGAATAGGAGACACACACCAGCCACTGATTCCACATCTGGCCAGGCAAACAGAGTGAAGGCCCTCTGCCTTACGGGTGGAAGACATTCTGGCTATGGGCCTGGCTCTGTTCTCTGGGGAGAACTTCCTTGTCCCTTTTTCTCAATGGCCATGAGTTCTTCCTTCTGAGGGGCTCCCCTTGCTACCTCTATGTATGTTGGGGAGTCAGCCCTCCATGCAGCCGACAGTTCACCTGCTGGTGGGAGAGGTTGTTTTCAGTCTTCAGGACATTTCTAGTACAGGCTTATAGTTACTTTAGCAATATAAGACCTTCAAAAGCTTGGCAGGTTCCTAAAAGCCATCAAATTTAGGTACTATCTCTCTATTCCATTTTATTTCTGTTTATAATTTAGCTATTTCTTTCTGGGACTCATCTCCTTCTTGAAACACCTTACAAAAATGCAGTCAGTAGCAGCCAACGCACACAATGGATGTTTCCCCGCGACGCACCCCCACCCCCAGCCTCCCGTCCTGGAGCTACAGGGTGATGTGGCACAGATGGTTTTTTTTAAAGATTTTTTTTATTTATTCATTTGAGGTACAGAGATACAGAGAGAGAGAGAGCATGAGCAGGGGGAGAAGCAGATGGAGAGGGAGAAGCAGGCTCCCCACTGAGCCAGGAGCCCGATGACCCTGGGATCATGACCCGAGCCGAAGGCAGACGCTTAACCATCTGAGCCACCCAGTCCTGGCACAGATGGTTTTGCAAGTTATCATAGATGTCTGTTTCACCCAATGTGCTGCTGGGGCAAAACACGGCATTTCACCTTTCCAGCCTCTGGTATCCATCTCCTTGCACTCAGCTCCTGACTACTCGGCCAACGGCACTTAGTGAGGGTTTTTGTTAGAGCGGCACCCCACATCCTTTGCCAGTTTTGACACTGGTCAGGGGAAGCAACACTAGCTTCTGTGGTAAATCACAGTGACTCACAATTGGTCCTACTAAGTAACATAATGAGGTGTTTAATTAACTTTGGTTGGATAAATGCAGCATTCTGTGTATATATACAAATGGGTTGTTTAACATATTTGTATTTAATCTTCCACAATTAAGGAAGCAAATGCTTAAAGAAAGGAATTCAATATGCAAGGTCACGTAACTGGAAAATCATGGATTCAGGTCTGGGATGCTACATGTACTACTGCCTATAGATGTCTCCTCAGTAGAAGCCAGAGCAAATAGACTCTACCCTTTTTTCTGCTTTCATAGCAAAGAAAATCTGAAACCTTACCACTTCCCTGCAGTTTTAGACCCTTTCTCTCTTTGCACTATTTCAATTAGAGGTATTGTCCCCTGTCCTTAGCATAATAGTTACTTTAGGTGATTCAAAAAACACAGCGGAAAATAATCTATGGTTTTAATATAATGAATGAGGTTTTGGTTCTGTAATCGTTTGCATAAGTTTACATAGTAAGCATACTGAGTAGATCGTGCCTGTGTTGACATCTCTATTCTCCACCAAATGCTTTATTTACTTAACTAATGTTTTCTATACTAACTTAGGAGATTTTATTATATCATAGCCATTCATTAAATCTGGCAAAAGCACACATTGTCCCATTTACTCTCTGTACAAGCTTTGACATATCCTTCCCGGATGGGAACATATTCTCAACGTAAACCGAAATTGTCAAAACTGTTGAATGATCTGAGCCTCTGCAATACTTTATTCATGTAGCAGGTATTTACTGAGTACTTATTATCTATCAGGTACTGAGCAAGACCTGCTTTAAGATATGCTATAAATATTTTTAAAATCACCACTTTAAGTTGGTTGTAATTTGAATTCACAAATAGTGTGTGTGTGTGTGTGTGTGTGCGTGCGTGTTTAATGGCAGGTAGGGAAGCGTGGTTGAAAGAGTAAAATCATTGATTACAGTCTCTATGTCAGAAACTTACCCAGCTACATGGACACACTCTGCAAAGCAAGTATCCCTCCTAGAGTTTATGATTCACAGCAATTATCCCTCCTAGAGTTTATGATAGACATACAGGATGCAGGTTAAAATAAGTCCAATTCAAATGACATCAGTTTAGGTATTTTCCCCTTTTATGAAAATATAATGTATACTAATTTTACATTTCTCAAATAGATGAATTAGGGAAAAATTGCATGGAAATAATTGTGTTAGCAAAAGTGATGTTTAAACACAATTTCACTAGTATCACTCTTCTATAAGATGAGACAGAAACTTTTCTGTGTGCTTTTTTTTTTTTTTGCTTCCAGTGAAGTGATGCCATTTGGTCTCAAGGCATCACTTGAAAAGGCAAAGAAACAACTTGAAGTCACAGAGTGAGAAGAGCTACGGATAAAAGAGAGAAATAGAATTGCTCCGATACCTGAAACTTTTCTTCCCATTTGCCTCGGTCCGGGGTTTGCAAAGAACGTCACCGGCTCCTACTCTTTCCTAACGAGCGTATATATTAAGCTCTTTGAAATGTGAGTATTATGGGAAGGATCACAGTTGCTTTAAATTATAGACGTTGGCAAGTGGCGGGGAGGAGCAGGAGGTTGTTTAAACTGAGAAAGACAGTTGCAAAACTTCATGCAACAGCATGAGCTCCAAGCTTCAAACACATTCTTATGCTCAGAAGAGCACTTTATTTTTTGTCGAGTTATTTTTTGTATTGTTTTGAAGCAGCTTCGATTAAGACGCACATATTTCTCCTTTAAATTTTTTAATGGTTTCTAAATTCATGGGACAACCAAAGCAAAGAAGCCTCATGTTTTGGGGGAAATTTTGACATCAGCAATGCCTAGAAAAGGTAAGCCACTCTTTTCATTGCACTTTTTCTCTTTTTCCCTCCTGTTTGGCCTTTGTCAAAAATATTTACTGGGAGAACTTAAGACAGCTACTTGTAAAGAAATGGGGAACTTGTAAAAATATGTCAACAAATTATAAATCCGAGGTTGGAAATCCTTGGCATTCATGCCTTCTCCTGCTTTGCATTCCGCTTGATGCAAACCTCTGTGAAAGCTTTGACTATTTGAAAAATGAGATTTCTGTTAGAAAATGTGTGCGGGAGAGTCCTCAGAATCTCCAACCTGGTGTGTCTCACATTCACTAATGTGGTGATGGGTTCATTTATTGCCCGGGTCAGAGTATCTGTGTTTTCTTACCCCGATATATGTAACTCAACTTCCGGAGCTATGATCTTTGTATTAACTCAGAAATCTTTCCCATGGAAGAGTTTAACATCACTCCCAAAAATCTTCTTGAGTGTGGTTACTATGGCTTCTTATAACCTTTTTTGCAGAATATGTTTTTAAAAGTTAAATAAATCATTTGGCTTTTCCTTTGTAACGACACGATGAGGACGTTACGGCTATGATGTCCTGGGAGAAAAAAGAAAAAACTCCAAGTTTGTTCATTCCAGTTGCAGTTGACTGACAATGCTAGTGTCTGGGTAGGGTGGCTTTGCCCTCTTGATTGTGCCTCTGATACAGGTAGGGAGCAGACAGGCTCGAATATTCCTTGGTTTTCTATGGCATTGGTCATATGGGAAGTATGCTGTGGTTTTAGGTGGAGAGGCACATAAATGTGTGGTGTGCTGTTCCTATTTCCCTGGGAAGGTCTCTGTTATCAGATTTCCCATCTTTCCGAGGCAGAATTCCAGGTGCAAGTAACTAGCTATCCAGAGAGATCTATCGGCAAATTCTTCCGGCAGGCTGCGATGTTAACAGAACGTTCATTCCTCCGCGCACACATATGTACTCACAGGAGGAGGCTACAAAGCCGCATGGGTTTAACCAAGCTTGAGTGGTCTGGGACATCTAGGCAACCTCAGTCTACAAAACCCACTGGTGCAGAAGTAAAAGCAAACATGCCCGATGGGCCTGGGGGAGAATGGGGAAGCATGCTTGGGTTGGGAGGGGCTCTACCTGCCTTGCCGGACCAGCTGCCGCTCTGTTTCTGGGATATTTTTTCCTTCTGCATCAAATTCTAATTATATAAGATGGATTATGGTGGCTTCCCCTGCCTTTTGTGGTCTCTGGGGGGGGGGGGGAAGAAAGAGGTTACGATAAGAGGAAGGACATTGGTACAGAGAAGAGAGAAGGCAGCTCGATCGGCTCATTGCAAGGTGGTCAAGAGAAACTGCTAGTTCCTTTCTCCATCCCCAGTTGTTAGTGGAGGCAGCAAGGGATCCGTGCCTGCCCCTCCGCTGCCCTCCTCCCCTTGTCTTCCCTGCTCTCTCGTCCTCCCTTCCACTTCTATCCACACCGGCCATGCAAGCTCAAGAGAGGGAGCAGTGAGTAGGACGGACAAGATTATTCTCATCTCCTCCTCTCCACCATTCCCGGGCCAGTTGGGGAAGCCCCCACCCTATTTGGAGGGGGGTCTCCAGGACCCCACCCCATGACCTCATCACAGGCAGCCAGGGAGTTGGGATGGCCAGCAGTTGCATGGCGCCTGAGTGCACCCTGGGGAAGGGTGCGGCCCAGAAATGCACAGTGTGGCATGACGTGGCTGCTGGGGAGCGGGGCGCGGACTTCCCATCATGGGCTCTTGTGGAGGCTGGCGGCATTTCTGGAAGCCGAGCATGCCAGGCCCCACCTCTGGGCCTGAGAAGGCCCCAAAGAGGACAAAAACAAAAAGGCAATTAGAGTTGCTAATGAAGCCCCAAGCCAGCTGACTCATCTGAGGCACAGCCACTGGGGGGCTTTGTAATGAAACCTGGACAACACCCTGGAAAGGACAGGTCAGGTTTGTCCCCAAAAGGACACTGATGAGAGGCCTGATGTGACTTAATCATGCTCCTCACCTCATAGAGGCTGGGGAGAGGCCACATCTGCAAGGCACAGAGGGAGGACAATGTTAACTAACGAACTGCCAGGGCGTTTGGGAGCGATGGTGTCCAAACCTGAAAAGCGTTGGAGCCAGACTCAGCCCAGGTCACCAGCTACAGTCACACCCGCAAGTCCATGACCCATGACCTGAAGAGCCCCAGGTCGCTCGGGAAGTGACCCCCTAGGGCAGCTAGGAAGATTGTAATTCACCAAACTCTAACAGAGTGTCCACTCTGCCAGAAACTTTACCAAGGCTCTTTGGAAATGGCCCTTGACAGAGAAACCAAACATTAACAACAGTGGAGAACACAGAGGGGCTTTGCACATCAACCTGCCAACATCAAAGAAAGCTCCTCGTAGAGTTGCATTTGAACTAGATATTGGAGAAGGAGTAAAATATCATGAGAGAGGCAAGGGGGCCAGGAGCCTGTAGGCAGAGGTCAGTGAGCAAAGGTGCAGAGGTGGAAAGGTCATGGCTGCTCCCATGAACCAAGTAGCTTGGGGAGGCAAGGCTCTGTTACCCAAAGTGCAACCCAAGGAACAGGACTTTCATGGGTTATTAATAAGAGGATAACCAAAAGCATTTCCCGGTCAGGCAAATCAGGGAATGTGAAAAGCTGTGTACCGCAGTGGACCAGAACTCAGGTTCTGGGGTTACAAATACCTGATTCCAATCCCAGCTCCAACTCCTAACTGCCGTGAGAACTTGGACCATTCAAGTTTCTTCATTTGTTAAGTGAGGATAATAATTATACCCATTCTTAAAGAGGATAAAGCATTTGAGGATTAAATTAAAAAATTCATGTAAAGGGACTACTATCAAAGTATCTGCCATGAGAGAGCTCGATGAATGTTAGCTATTCTTATTAGCTGGTTTTTTTACTGTAGGACTTCTTACACATTTTAGTTTCTTACTACATCCTCTGTCTCTCCATGAGTGGGTCATTAGAATCTAATGTTTTCCAAACTCATCAGAATGTAAAACCATCCCCCCTTGCGGGAGTATCACACAAACCACAGAATACGGAATGCATGGTGGACAATGGTGAGGCTGAGTTGGCCCAGTTAGTTGAGGCCACATGACCTTCCAGCACATGCATTTCCCAAGATTTAGTTGAAATTTATCAATCTCTACCAGCCTCTTCAGGCATTGTCTTCCATTCTTCTAGGAAACAAAAACCCCACAACTGGGATTTTCATATCTAAGGAAATTGACTGTTTTTTTTAAAACTATTGTCAACTTTTAGAGGGAAGAAAAAGTGAAGACAAAGCAAATTATTGTCACACCCAAATTTCACACCGGAAAGGTCAACCTTTGCCTGTGGTTTGAGAGCCTACTGCATAGAGGGCAATGCACAGGACACAAGCTAATGAAAACATGATCCCACCTTCAAGGAGTTATTAATCCCACGGGGAAAACAGCACATGGGATCCAATATCTAAAAGGCAAAACTAGATTTACAAGGAAGGATATAAGAGAGCTCAGAGTGAATGGGAATTCACAAAAAGGAGCCTGCAGTTCCCTGGAATAATCAGAGTAATATGTTACATTCTTTGATGTTTACCATGTACAAGGAACTATGCCAAGCACTTCACAGTATGACTAACCCATGTGTACTTCATAAGGCTACACGATGGGTATTGATTTGCCTGTCTCACAGGTGAGAAAACTGAACCCTAGAGAAATTCAATAACCTGCCTGAGATGTTCTAGGAAGTAAGGAGCAGAGTACGCTCTCAAACTCAGGCCCATCTGATGCTCTGTTTCCCTCACCCAGGGAAGATTCCTCAGAGGAGGGAATATGTAATTTAGCCTTGAAGGATGAATAGGGATTGGTGGGAGGGGTATTCCAGGCAGCAAGAACATTAGTAAAATCATGAAAGAGGACAGCATGGGGAGTAGCAGCGAAGCTCCCCTAGCAGAACAAAGTACATGCATACAGAGCAGAGGGAAATGAGCTCAAAAGACTTAGTTGGTTAAAAAAAAAAAAAAGGAAAGGAAAGAACCAGACTTGGTTGGAACCAGATCATAGCAAGCCTTGAATGCCAAACCACAAAGTTTAGATTTTTTTTTTAAATGGAATAATCATTTTGTAAGTTTGTAAACAAGAAAGTAAGTCCTTGGCAGTTTATTAGAACGGTGGTTTAAGATGATTAATCAGTGTCCAGAAGGGGCAGAGACTAAATCGCCAGTTAAGAAACAGATGTTTGTCCAGACAAGAGATAAGAGCAGTAGGTGTTCCTACCGCAGTTAAAGGGTGGAGATGCTTGTAGGGCCCAGCCGCCTAAACCAGCTACACCAAGGCCCTGACCATCACAGTGGTCTATTAGAATAATAACCTCGGGGCCTCGCTAAATCCAGATTCAGCCCTGTAAAATGGGAGGGGTGGGGAATGGAAGGGACAGGAGGAGCTAGTGGATGTCCAAGGGCCTTCTGACACCTCAAACTCCATGAAGATAGACCACTATGCACTTTTATGGAAATCATTAACTATTCAGTTCCCTATTAAATCACATTTCCAAACTGCTTCTCCATATCGAGGCATATTTTCAAAAGAATTTGAGGGTGTGCAAAAGTTTTATGGCTATTACATAGTAGTGATATTGGCACACAGTGATTCGGGGAGGGTATATTTTAATATATCCCTTCAGGAGAAACATTTACCCATCATCCTGGCTGTGTGTCTTTTGCAAAATTTAGATGCCTACCTCTTGTGACAGAGGAGTCTTAACTGCAGTTCATACATCAGGACCTTGTAGCGCTCCAAATGGTAGTGATTCAAGTAGGTGGCATAGGACCTCCTCCAGCTCCCAAAAAGGTGGTCAGCTTCCAGAGAGTAGGAATTCATGCATCTTTAGATTCTTTGATGATTTACCACTATGGCGGGTCTGACTCAATTTACAAACGCGGGTCTCTAAGAAGTGTCACATTTTCTCATTGTTTTTCCTTCAACTTGAATCTGTTTCCAAGAGTCCAT